TCATGGAATGCAATGTATGCCAATGTCATTCCCCATTTTCAACATTCAAAACCATCACTTTCAAACGGTTAATATAACCCGCCCTTTGGTGACCCTGCAGCGACACGAGAGAAGAATTGACTAGTGTCCCTGACCCTTGGTACCCCCGCGGCGTCATTTTGGCCCCAGCTAGCTCAACCACGCTAGGGCAATCTCCTTAGTTCCCTCTAGGCTATATTAACCCTCCGGCCCTTTGGTACCCCCGCGGCGACCGGGTTTTCATAAAACCAATTCATCAAAATATTTCCCCCAAAATTCCCTTTTTCATTTCAAAAGGATTTCTCCCATTTATGCCCAATGCTAGTGCATAGATGCATCAATGCCATGTCCATGTTCATCATTTCACAATTAGCTCAAGTTTGACTAATAAAGCATGGTTCACAAGAATTGCTAAGGAATCTACAACATGCCTTCATATAATAAACATCTAACATTTTAGGCATACGAAAATCAACACATAGGCATGCTCTTCACATAGATCATTTAATACATATAGTCACACAAGTAACATTCATATATACACAACAACCAAACAATTTGCTAGGCTCTATACAATTTAATCATGCTAAGCAACAATTCATGAAGAATTAACTCACTAAAGCACAAGATTGCATGGATTAAGAACTCCTACCTCTAAAATGAGCAAAACTTTTGAAATGGGTCAAGAATTTTGAAATCCAAATAAAGGCCCAAAGCTGAAATTGTTGGTACTCACGCGTATAGCTCGTCGTGCTCTCCGTTTTGCCTCAAACGACACTAAAAAATTCCAAGTATTGAAGATGGAATCTTATATCAGAGTTTACTTCTCAAAAAAAAAGAAAAATGAAGAGAAATTGAGAAAGAAGAAGAAGAAGTTACAAGGAGAGAGAAAGTGGGGAAACAAATTGTGGTCTCTAGACCACTTATGTGGTTAGTGGTGGGTCCCACCAATTTTCTTTTCTTTTCCCTTTTTTCTTTTTGTTTCAAAATTACACCACACATTTAAATACATGCACCACCAAGTAAATGCCACTTAATTCGCATAAAATAAAATGTGTGAAATGCAAATGGACCCAACTAAAATGCCGTACAAAAAAAGTGAAAAGACATAAATACCCTTGCATCAACGAAATTCCAGAAAAATGAAAAATGCTGAACATTGGAAACATTACAGTGCCATCCCAATAGTAGACTGATAACTATTATTATAAGCAAATTCAATCAATGGTAAATAATCATCCCAACTACCTTTGAAATCCAGCACACAGGCTCTCAACAGATCTTCCAAAATCTAAATAGTTCATTCTGACTGCCCATCTGTCTGCAGGTGAAAAGCTGTACTGAACTTCAAAGAAGTTTTCATGGCTTCATGCAAACTACACTAAAATCTAAAAGTGAACTTCGGATCCCTATCACAAACAATAGAAACTGGAACCCATGCAAACATATGATCTCATCAACATACAAACGAGCATATTCCTTTGTAGAATAAGTAGTTTTTACTGCCAGAAAATGAGCGGATTTCGTTAATCTATCAACTATCACCCAAATGGAGTCATGTCCCCATTTTGATCTTGGAAGTCCCGTCACAAAATCCATTGTTACATGCTCCCATTTCCACTGTGGAACTAGTAACGGCTGCAACAACCCTGCTTGCTTTTGATGTTCATCTTTTACCCGTTGACAAATCAAATATTTTGCTATAAATTCTGCAATATCACGTTTCATATTGTTCCACCAGTAGTATTCCTTCAAATCCCTGTACATTTTAGTACTTCCCGAATGCATAGCATATATAGAACTATGGGCTTCATCTAAAATATTTTTCTTTAAAGAAACATCATTTGGAACACAAATTCGGCTTTTAAAATACAAAGTCTCATCATCCCTAATTGTAAATTCAGTTTGCATACCTTTTTGAGATTCTCTTTTTTTCTTATCCAGGAATACATCATGACTTTGCAACTCTTTAATTTGATCCAGCAACAAAGGTCTCACCGTAACATGTGCGAACAATGCTCCTTTGTTCGTAACTGTCAATTCAACTCCCATCAGTCTCAACTCCATAATATTTGCCACCCGTGCACACTGTACATAAGTTAGTCTCCCTGAAGACTTCCTACTCAAGGTATCTGCTACTACATTGGCTTTTCCAGGATGATGGTGAATATTACAATCATAATCCTTGATTAACTCCATCCAGCGCCTTTATCTCAAATTTAAGTCCTTCTGTGTAAACAAATATTTCAAACTATGATGATCTGTGAATATTTTACAAATCTCACGATACAGATAATGCCTCCAGAGGGTGTTCGGTTGCATGAAATTGAAGTCTTGGAATTAGAATTAATGGAATGCAGCCAAACACTCCCCAAGGAAAAATGCAAATCAACAAAGAAAATTAGCAAAATATCTTGTGATCAGTCAACCTATCATGTTTATGAACAAAAATTGTTCTTCAAATTAAGGTTAAATCATAGTTGTCTAGAAAATCAGGTTAGTTGTTAGTCAATTGATTGAGATAATAAAAATAAATAAAAAATCATAGTTGTTCAAGTATTGGCTGTTGCTTCATGCTCGCATAGAATATATAGCTCTAAGTAGTGTTTTTCCTCTATCGAAATTTATTCTGAAACAGAGACTGCTTGAACAGCAGTGAAACCGAAGTTGAGGCTATATAATTCCCTTAGTCCTTGGTAATCTAACTTCGATATTAATGCCATTATACAAAAAGTTATACTATTCAGACCAAGGTCTTCATAGCTGAAACACATACATTGATTGTGTGCACATGCATGGATGCCTGTGCTTCAGCCCTAGCATTCGGCTGCAGACTTGGGCCTGAAAATAATTATCCTCGTATAACTCTACATAATGATTAAAAAAGGGAAAATAATGAGGTCAATTATATAAACAGACAGAGAATAACTGGATTAATACCGTTGCTCAGAAAAAAAAACTATTTAAATTATAGGATAAATTACATTCAGACCTCGAAATTGTCATTGCATGGACCATATTTATAAGATCAAAACCATAATCATATATATACATATCTACACCTATATATATATATATATATATATATATATATATAAAGCATTTGTGTAAATTTGAGAGAGGGGACTGACCTCCTCTTGGAGCAATGGCAGCGGCCAGAAGAGCCCCTGCAACTGCACTTCCTCTTAGGCGACGACAAAGACAACGGGGCTTCCCCGCTGACGAAACCTGATTGCCGCCGACGACATGAACGATTTCGCGCCATAAATTACGGGCGAAATTGAGAAAATGATAGTCTTGGAGGCCGATTCCTTCACTCTCAATCACATCATTTTTACCACCATCACATGATCTTGAAGAGAGAAAGGAAGTAGAGCCTTTGCTTAAAGGATTGGGTCATTTTAATTTGTTGCGTGATGCTGATCGTTTTCACTTTGAAAGAGAATCAAGTTTGTTTGCGTAATAGGTGTTTGATAAAATGTGTAAGTTGTAATTATTTTTTTGATGCCACAATTCTATCATAAAAAGTGACTTTAATCACTACCTAATTCTTGGATGTAATTGCAAAATCAAGAAAATTATAAATAAGAAAACATATAGGTGGTTGAATTTTTTTTTTCTTTTAAAGTTTTTTTTTTAAAAAAAAATTAACTTTTTATTGATTAAGTTTTTTATTCAATTTTTTTGTGATTTTTAGAAAAATTTATTTTGAAATTTATTTTTGAGTATTTAGCCATTTTTATTGATTAGGTTTTTATTTTATTGCGGATAATACTTGGTCTTATTAGGCAAAAGTTACTTGATATGTGGTCTAATAATTATTTGACATGTGTTCTATAAAAAAGAAATACTATTGAAAAATTTTAAAACTAATATCAGACAAAAGTTATTTGGCATGTTTTCTTTTTTCCTATAGAACCCTTATTCAACCTCAATCCATATGCAACTATCTTATTATAATCTTAAGTCTTAACAAAAAAATTTATAATTTACATTCTGTTTGAAAAGAAAGGAGATTGATACCAGTTACAAATTGTTCTAATTCTTTCATGATAATATGATTTAATTTTTTTGTGATATCATAAAAGAAAAAAAAAAATTAACGACCTACTTTATTTAATATGTCTTACTGCATGGATTATATATGGATTGAAAATAGCTAGACTTATCAAATTGGGTTCCGCCAATTTTATACTAAATTTTTTAAGTGTATGACCATTTGATCTATGCACCTGATCGAATTTCAATGGAAACATTGAATTATTATATTTTAAGTTTATAGTATATGACCATGTTATATGATTTTAAAGTGTGTGAACATTTGAAAATATAAGAGATAGGGTTAAGGATGCTATCTCTGTATAAAAATATTTTTGCAGAGGTTGATTTTAAATAGAGTTTATTGGTTCAAGTTTTCGCTAACTTTTGGAGGAGAAAATACACAATGTGCCCAGTGCACCGGGTGCATTGTATATTAATTTTTTCTCCTTCTAAATCGAGGAGCCCAGGGTACATTGGATAAGAGTTAGAGTTAAGGATCTTTGTTAGATTTTTTTTTTTTTAATATAACAGAAGAAATTATCAAAATAAACACCTGTCAAATAAAATTGTCTGGCCTACTCCAAACACATTTTCTCATTTTTTTAATCCCTAAACTCTATACTCTTGTCAAAATAGGTAATTCTTTATGACGTAAAGGATCAACAAAATGCTTTTCTTAAAATAAAAATAATATATATATATATATATATATATATATAGTGTAATCCTAACGTGGAAATTTGGTTCATGCAATTTGGGTATCATTGTAAGTTTGAATCTTAAAAGTCTATTGACGTCATAACATCAATTTTTTTAGAGCACGGGGTTATCCTAATCTCCACTGCGTGTAAATTGTAATAAAGAAAACCCTCAACACTCGCACCATATATTAGAGGGGTTGTCTCCCATCTAAATGTATAATGAAGGTTTGTTTCATAATCAAATTTATGCACTACATTATATAAATTTTTATTTATGCTGAAATTATTTTCATGACTCTTTATTGAAGTACATTTAAATGAGAAAAGTTGCACACTGGAGAGCAGAGATGAAAGAAAAAGAAAAAGAAAATACAGAACAGTATGTGTAACAATCAGCAAAAGCAGTATTTGACATGCACTGCACAATTGATGAATCAACCAACTTCTCCAAGCTCAACAGACCTCAAAGCATCTGGAAATAGAAGAAACATAATTAGCTCTCGGACATTCGAATGTGATATAAGAAAGTGAAAGATGTAAATTAACAAGGTGCAATACTGGAAGCCCTTTAACCAATATGTTAAGCTTAAGGATAACATGATCAAGCGAGCTATCATGCTTTTTTGGTTTCAGGCGAACACAATTTTCAGGAAATTAAATCATCAATTTTCACAAAATCTGGTTTGTTTTTCAGTTAAATGAATTAGATATAAAAAAAATATATTTGAACCAACACAGAAGAACATGTGTGGTCTGCATGCTCAAAGACAAAAAAAATCATATCTAGAAAAAAAGTAGGTGAAAATATATATATATATATATATATATATGTATATATATATATATACATATATATATTAGACATCATTACAATTCTTGTCGGAAAAGAAAGCATATAAAGAACATCATGAGAACTACATGCATGCCTAGACATTGGCCTAGCTAATTCTTTTGCCCCTCCAAAATGTTTATTTCAGTTACCAAGACAGTAATTCGATTCTTACCTACTCACGATCAACCTGCAGTTAATTAGGTCTTCCGACATGCGCTCCACCAGTTCCAAGAAGATTGTCCCTAATGGCATGCAACTTAGCTACAACATCAGTAATATCCAATCGTTCAGTTGGTGACTCTTCTGAACATGCAATTCCAATACTAAATACGGCAGTCAAGCACTCCAGAATCTTGCAACTGCTAACACGGCTTTGATTGAGAGTGTTGTTGGTGCTCGTACTTGCGTCACCCTTTTCTCCTTGCTGGAGAAGTACCGAATCTGCAATGCTAACTACTCTGTCCATCGACAAAGCTGTCTTGGCAAAGTTATGAAGATTCAGACCATCAATAAACATCTCATCAGTAGGCCTTTTTCCTATAAACATCTCGAGCAAGAGAATGCCATAGCTGTACACATCACCGGATATTGACACCTCACTTCCCATACCATACTCTACAATCCACACAACCCAGTGCAAAAAGAAATGTAAATATCTCTTTACAAAACAAACATTTTATCTGTAAAATAGGATTCATGGTACATATATCACAACTACTCCTTAAGATTAAGGGAAAGAAATGTTAACAGAGAAATAAAAAATCGTATCGTTAATACCTGGTGGTGTATAACCAACGGAACCTCTGATTCCAACAGAACTGGTTTGGTTTCCACTGTCATTATTGTTAGCATCAAGAAGAAATCTTGATATCCCAAAGTCACCTACATGAGCAATCATGTCATCATCCAGAAGAACATTGCTTGGCTTCATATCACAATGGATAATCGTAGTTTGACAACGATGGTGGAGATAATCCAATGCACAAGCAATATCAATGGCAATATTCAATCTCTGACCAAGGCACAAACTTTTTGCTTCCACATACTCCTCAAGGTCTCCTTGAATTGGATGCAACCAATCATCTAGGCTCCCATTGACCATGAACTCATAAATCAGAGCCTTAAAGTCATTATTTTGGTGATCAACACTTGAACATGCAGTGATTACCTTGACAAGATTCCGATGCCTGATGCTCCTCAACGCCTCACACTCGGTGATGAAACTCCTGGAAGCTCCTGGCCGCAAAAGATTGAGTACCTTCACGGCAACCTTTTTCCCTTCCTGATCGTCAAGAAGTCCTTCATATACAGACCCAAAACTACCCACCCCTATCAAATTGGAGATGCTGAAACCATTGGTAGCTTTATGTAGACTTTGGTAGGATACTTTCAAAAAAAATCTTCCTGAATTTTCTGAAGAAGGTCTTTCTCTCTTCTTTTTATGCCAGTAAAGAACTAGAATACACAAGAGTAATGTTAATCCAATAAGCCCCGATGCTACGAGGATTATTAATTTCAAGGTAAGAGTTAATACCCTCTTTTTGGATCCTTTGAAGTTACATTTAGGCAGCTGTAATTCAGGTATACCTCCACAGAGCTTACTATTTGCAGCGACTGAAACTGCATTTGCATTTCCAAAGACACCATTTTTTGGTACCACACCCTCGAGATCATTGTAAGATAGATTCAAAAATTTTAATAATTCGAAACCCTCAAGATATTCTGGAATTTTTCCAGACAAATTGTTGCGAGAAAGATCTAAATCTTGAAGACCTCTCAGAGAGCTCAAAAATGATGGAATGCTTCCTTGGAAGAAGTTACCTGCCATATATAATCCCTCCAATCTCACACAGCTACCAATAGTGCTTGGAATTTCACTGGACAGCATGTTCTCCGAAACATTCAGTGCACCTAAATTTCTCAAATTTCCAACTTCTGTGGGAAGTGAACCAGTGAAATGGTTTTGAGACAGATCTAGATAGATTGATAAGGAGGATAGACTCAGAACTTCTGAGGGTATGGTACCATTGAGATTGTTTTCAGCAAGGTCAAGTAATAATAAATTATGACATTTCCCAAGACTTAAAGGAATGCTGCCATTGAGATTATTGTTAGCTAAATTCAAGAGGTTTAACATAGTTAAATTTCCGAGAGAGGAGGGAATGGATCCGGAAAATTTGTTATAAGCCAAGCTCAATTCGTTTAGGTTTCGAAGCATTCCAATCTCGGTGGGAATGTTACCTGTGAACTTGTTGCCCCACATATTTAGCCAATTCAAGTTGATTAGATTCTCGATCCCTTCCGGGATGCTCCCAAATAATTGATTATTGGCTAAGTTAAAGAATTGAAACTTGGTTGAGAAGTTGGCAATGGATTTGGGAAGCATTCCACCAAAACTGTTATTGTCCAAGACCATCACCCTTAGATTGGTGATATTGGTCAAAGAGGACAAAAAGTTGAAGTCTTCAATTCCCCCACTTCCAAGATTATTGCTGGCCAAATTTAAAAAATTCAGCTTTAGCAATCTCTCCATTGTAGGCACCTTTCCAGACAGATTATTTAAACTGAGTAATAACACTTCAAGATTCGATGCATTGGATATTGAGATAGGAATAGATCCAGTAAATTGGTTAGAGACAATGCCAAAGAATCGAATATTAGGAAGAGTGATGCCTATGTCCGAGGGAAGGCTGCCTTTTATTTGGTTATTTATCATCACATCGAAAACTTCCAGTAAAGAGAGATTGAAGATTGGAGGAGGGATGGTACCAGACAACCTATTGTCACCTAGTGAAATTCTTCTTAGGTTTTTAAGTTGGCCAAGTGCATCAGGTACACCCCCGCCAATATTATTTCCATATGCAGAAAGGTTCTCAAGAGATGACAAGTTCATGAATGAATGAGGTGATAAATTTCCTGTTAGGTGATTGTGCCTAATACTCATTATCCGGAGCTTTGACAAGGTTTCCAGCTCCACAGGAATTGGCCCTACCAGATTGTTGTATTCCAAATCTAAGACATTGAGGTTAGAGCAAGCAGATAAATTAGCAGGAATGTTACCACTTATTGAGTTATTGCCAAGAGATAAAATTTGCAATCTTCGTAAACGGCCAAGTTCAAGGGGAATTTCTTGTTCAAAACTATTCTTCACGAGAACTAATGCTCTTAGAAAGCTTAGATTCCCAATGTGTGGCGATATGGTGCCAGATAAATTCCGAGACTGTAGCTCCAACCTCGTGACCCTTTTGTGACGGTGACCACATGTAACACCATGCCACTGACAGAAGTGTATTGATCCATTCCACGTACTCGTAACTTGGAGTGGATCACTGATTATTTTGGCCTTGAAAGCTAACAATGCAAGTCGATCTGTCTCATTCCCTCTCAGCCTGGAGGTGGCTGCGTTGGTAGGAATGCTTGCATGCATCAAACTCATACAACATGCTAATATTGTTACATAGGTGAAAGCATTGAAAATTGACCTTGATATTCTTAAGCCCAAGCCAGCTGAAATTCCCATCTGAGTTTGGAAAAATTTATCCTCTTTCCACATGGCCTGAAAGATATGGATATTGTACTCCAGTTCCTGTTTACCCAAAAAAAAAAAAAAAAAAAAAAAAAAAAAAAAAAAAAAGCTGAGTTGTAAAATATAATCCAAAAATGTGCGGTATCAGAAGCATTTGAGAACAATTATGCTAGTCACAACTAGTTGCAATTGTGGCTTCGTTAAAGATTATAGTATTGTACCTGTGCGCTGGATTTAAGTCTCAGGAACTTGAAGGATATTGATCAAAGTTTGAGTCCTTGAAATTTACCAGTGAAAAGAATATATCAAGTTGTGATCATTTGGCGATAGGCCCTAAAGGGATTCAATCTCAGGCTTGATACATATACTGTTTTTTCTTCAACTTTTATTTCCCATATTTGGTGGACATGGTTGAATTTTGTAACAATATGGATTGGTATGTTGAATTGTGAAGTCCTCTTTGGGCATGAGCTACTTGATGGCAATAATTGACTGGTAGGGACGGTCTTAAAGATGTTATAAAGTTGACTGGTTGAGACCGTCTTAAAGATGCTATAAATGTAAGAGGCAATGTCAGTCAAATGACAGTCTCTCACAAAAAATTGTACTTTTGGGCAGTCAGTCAAAATTAAAATTGGACTGCTAAATTGTAAAGGTCAATGCCAGTGTCTCAGTAAAAATTGAACTTTTGGGCAATCAGTCAAAATTAAAATACTGCTAAATTGTAAAGGTCAATGCCAGTCTCTCATTAAATCTTGTATTTTGGGCAATCAGTCAAAATTAAAATAAGACTTCTACATTCTAAAAGTCAATGCCAGTCTCTCACTAAATTTTGCATTTTGAGCATCAGTCAAAACTAAAAAAAAAAAAAAATTAAATTTAAGGGGTGATTTGGTAATGTTCTGTTTCGGTTTATGTTTCTGTTTTATGTTTTTTATCTTTAAAAGGTCAAAAAAATATATAAATAGGTAAGATAAATATTTCTATTAACCTTATTTCTATTTTTAAATTTTGGAAATATGTTCTCAAAAAGTCCAATTTTTAAGTATACAAAAAAGTTGTTTTCACTTGTTCCCAACCAAAAAACGAGAAACATATTCTTAACTTATTTCTAATTTATGCGCATCAATATACATATTCGTTTATATCTCTCCTCTCACTCTATTCTCTCTCTTCTTCTTCTTCATGGTCTCTTCGTGAGAGACATGTCGTCTTTGTAACAAAAGACAACCCATACATGATAGAATATTATATGTCCTGCAAATTCAAATTGCAAAAACTTATAAAGACAATAAAGCCCCAATCCGCTTCGACTCTCGGGGATTGTTGCTCCTTATAATCTTGATATATATATATATATATATATATATACAGGTATGTAGAGGGATTGATGGTTACGTTTTTTGGAGGCAAGTGAATATAGGTTTCTTTTTGAATTGGTTCAATTTCATTACTTTGTCTTATTTTTATCATTCATTACTCAACTCAATTATCAACTGCCAATTCAAGAAATCCTAGCAGAAAACTCAATTGTTATTATATGTGAAAAATATATTAATTAATGGGATTAATATATTTTTATATGAATAATTTTTATTTTTATTTTTATTTTTTGTGCTAAAATCTTACCAAACATGTTTTTGGTTTGCAGTTTATAAAATTCAAGAATTAAATAAATGTTATCAAACACTTCACTGTTTTTAAAAACCTACCAAAATAATAACAACACTTAGAAATATAAATAGAAAAAAAAAAAAAAAAATACATAAACGTTACCAAACTACCCCTAAATTTTAGTAATCATTTCTAAACAAAATTGCTTTTTAAGCCATCATAAAAAGTTGTAAAAAATGAATACGAATAAGGGACCATTTTATCATTATTCCATATATGCCCTTTATATAAGCGATCAGTTGTTATACTCCTCTCTAATCCTCGTGGACCAAAACCTGACAACTGTGTTAAATTTCGATGGAAACTTTTTGCATGATAATTGTAAATGTGAATCAATCCAAAGTCTTTTCTAATCGGGTCGGGCTCACCCATGGCGCCCTAATTTGGGTCCAATCCCAAAATGTAACACATCTATATGAAACAAAATTTAAAAAATTAACAATCCATTTTACCCCTACCTCTTTTGGAACAACTCACAAACCATCTATAACTAAGAACTCGAGGACAAGATTAGAATACAACCCATACAAGCAAGAAATTAATGATAAGGGGTGTAAATAACAAGATTGCTAATGGAAATTTAGTGAAATTTGCTCATTGCAGACAGATTTGAAATGTTAGATAGGAGTTTATATCACATGATGAGCCTGCACCGTACCAGTTATTAGGTGTTTAATACCCAAAAATTTAAGTCCTATTATGCTCTTAATAGTATATGAAGTTAATTGACAAAATGGCCGGGCAATGAAATTATCTTGGTGGGTCTTGAACCTGATTTCTAATATCTATTGTAACCCGAATATATAAGAGTGTTAGGATTTTATATTGTTCATGTAATATTAATAATATCGACATTCTACTTAAAAGGTGGTGAGGTACCATTATATTACACAGTTCATTGATCATTATATTTGCGCTTGAGAGCCCACTGCCGTAAGGCATGAGCTACTTGATGGCGAGAGATGATGAGATAGGGACATAAATTAAAATCCAATGAACTATAAGACACAGTCGTTGTTGTTGCCTTTATCTCACATGAATATAGTCGGCCAATACGACACCACCAACATCTCTTTAAAATAAGTGACCTGAGCAGCTTACCCGAGCATCATTCAATGTATAAGTTGTGTTGAGATGTCACAAAAGTAGAAGTCCATTTCAATATCTCATTAAATTTTGGATTTTGGGCAACCAGCCAAAAATAAAATAAGACTTCTACATATAATTCACACACAACCAATCTCCAACCTTAAGAGTCATTTAGGCATATAGCATGGCGTAAATGCTACTCTTATATAAAGGTGAAATACCTGACATTCTCTAAGGTTTGTTCAAATGTCTCTAAATTGAAATTATTGTCAAAATAGTTCATAATCACTTCTAAGCTTTTTCTGTAGTGTTTTCATTTTTCGCCATTTTCCATTTTTTCGGAAATTTTGTCATTGCAAGGGCATTTTCGTCTTTTCTCGTTTTGCGGGCTGGACATCGTGAAGTGTGCCGGATGTGTCAGAGAGTTGATTGGGGCATTTCATTGAGTTCAGGACTATTTGAAATGCAAGGTTTGTCATCTTTGTATTTTTTTCCGTTTTTCGGGTCGGACGGTTCCGGGTGGGACCCGTTATCGGAATTGTCATGTACGAGGGTTACGGTTGGGTCCATTTGCATCATTTTCATTTTATTTAATGTGTTGTATGTGACTATATTATAGTTGGTGCATATATATAAATTTCTGATGAGAATTAATAAGAAAAAGAAAAAGAAAAAGGAAAATTTTATTTTAAATGGGGGTGGGACCCACCACTAGCATATATGTGTGGCTTAGAGACCCATTTAGTCTCATTCTTCCTCTCTGTCTCGTAACTCACTCTCACCCCTCTCATTTTTCATTTTTTTTTTTCTTTTTCTTTTTACAAGATTTCAATCCTAAATTTCTCCCTCAATTCTTGGTATTTTTAGATGCCGTTTGCGGCAAATTAAAGAGCTCACCGAGATCTACGATTTGATCAGAGCAATTTCTTGTTTAGTGCACTTGGAAATTTCGAGATCTAGGACACAAATTAGGGGTTTTTGCACATTTTGAGGTATGGGTATTCTAATTCATGATTTCTTTGATTTTGTGAATTTTTCCCCTTTTTATTTGAGTATAAGCATGCTTAATTTAATTGTTTTACCTAAGTCCTTGAGGGTTTTGTGTTTAATTATGTTCTATATGACTAAATGATTAAATTTACTTGTTTCTTGCAATGATATGAAGAAGCATGCTAAATTGAAAATTTATCGTTGCATTTTATGTGTATAAATTGTTGAAATGTTATGTTCATCAAAGCACACTATGTTCAATGAATTAGATTTGTGTATGAGGGCATGTTGTGATTAATTTCAAATGGTGGAAATTATATGCATTGGCATGATGCATTCATACATCCTATTGGGAAGGAAAGGGGAAAATGTTTTGAAAAGCGAAAATGGAAACTTGTTTTTTTTATAGAAATGATTTTGAGTTGGATTTATGAAAACCGGATACCTAGTAGGCGCTTAGTGGTCTGTGGAGTTGGTGTAGTCTAAAGGGGACTAGGGAGAGACCCTAGTATGGTTGAGCTAACTAGGCCGGATATGACGCCTTGGAGGTGCCTTGGAGTCGTGGATGGTTAGCCAATCCTCCTTTCGTGATGCCTTGGAGGCATTTTGGGTCGGATTACACCAACGGTTTTGGGAAGGAAACGGTATGGTTTCGGAAACGGGGAATGACATTGCATGGCATGGCACATCATTGGCATACATGGTGCATTTAGTAGTTGGTTGATATTCATATGTTTGTGACGATACTATGGTTTTACTTGACTCCCGAGACATGACCCAGTTCTCTTACTTTCTATTCTATATGTGGATTCACAAGGTCATAAGAGGTGTGTCTTAAACACTTCCTACTAAGCGTTTAGCTCACCCCATTATTTAATATTTTTCAAGGCTTGGGAAAGAAGTAGTGGAGGCTGACCATCATGGCTTAAAGAGGATTAGAAATTCATTTGTTATCTTTTGTGTATTTGGATCTATTCTTTTTGTAAAGCTTTGCCCTAAAAAGTATATTCATTTTGTAATGTAAATATAACCACAGGACAGTTTTCTTATGAACTTGAAAACATGTTGGCATTTTTGTAATGGATGGGAAATAATATTATAATTTGCGACCTACTATTGTTGTTCATAACTGTGGGACGTCGTGTATTGTTTGCCATGAATTTGGGATTGGTTGTGCTTCAGGTTTTTGTGCAAGGCCGGCTCACACGAGTCTAGTTTCTGGTGTTATCAGCTGCAGACAGCAACATTCTTGGGCTGTCGGCCGGCTGACAGGGAGTATCAGCTGACCGACAGTGCACTTCTAGCCA